TGACAGAGAGGATTCCAGAAGATCCCTTAGGTTCACATGAATAAGGCTTAAAAAAAAAACTACAAACATGATCACAGTCTAGTGGAAATATAAAATGTCCAAAAACTACTTCTTCAGACAATTTGTTAACAACTTTTAATTAATGGATGTGCAGGTAAATCTGCATGTTTGAAGAGCTTCCTAAAGAAAAGCAAGAGGCAGACTAGCCTGACGGGAACATATTTAAAACCCCTATATTACAATCATGGAGGGGATATACTGCATGTACATACACTGCAGGTAGGAGATACTACAGCAATTATGTTAATACAAATTGAGAACAGGAGGAGGCAGGGACGGTGCAATCAGCGTAACCAGTTCCAGCAGTGTGTAGGAGATAGAAGGGAACAGCATGAATGATTGCACGAGTGGGAGTGTGAACTTGTCACTTTACAAGTACAGCTTCATTGATTAATCTGAGTATGACTGTGATTATGGTTGTAGGAGTCAGCTCATCAGCTGATGGCCATCCTAATGGCACTTATCAGACTTAACATCACTACAAACGAATGCTGTCACATCTATGATCGGTATCGACGTGCAGTACGGGTCCACATTTATTTCTACACATGTACCACATTGCTGAAAAGAAAAGCAAGTTTAATAACCCTAGAAAAGCTTAGCAGGTTGACAGAAGATCATTTAAAATGCTGTTTTTATTTTTTCCTATTTCTGTTTCTCTTGCTCCTCTCATACTTCTCCACAAGCTCCTTCAGTCAAACAGTGTAGACTCCTCTAACACCAGCTTACATGCTGTCTATGTCTGAAAATGCCGCACCCCAACGTGCTTCACTGGCCACACTGATCGAAGCAACATAAAAGACCTTCTAGAAGAAGAATGAGGGCACTGGAATTTCATCTAGACCAAGGATCCAGTCTTTCTTGTCATCGGTGATTTTCAAAAAAAGGGTCTTCAGCTAGCTGGAAGCTACAAACCCTTAACTAAGAATTACTGAAGATATAATACACACGGCTGTTTGTATATGACAATAAGACATGAAGACCATACACATAGAAACGTGCAGTCATTACTTAAATAAAACCATGTGCAAATGTGAGGTAAGCCTTTTGTACCCAAGCACTGACTTACACATGCACATGCACACACAGCACACTGTGAATGTGTGCGTGAACGCCTGCTGACCGATGTCAAACCAAGACTTGCAGTGCAACTTCATCAGATATGAGCATAAGAGGCTGGGGGAGAGTAATAAAGACTGAAAGGGGGACGTGAAATATATGGAAAAATGAGCCAAAGGATTCATGTATGCTGTGAAAAGCAGCTGGTACAATAAGAGAGCCACTAAAGCACATACTCGACCCAAACCTCTGCACCTCTGTGCATATACTGTTACTACGTAATACTATAGGGTTGGGATTTTCATATCAGTTTCACTGATATGTGAAACTAAAAATGCAAAACTGTAGCATATTGAGCACAGATGAGGCTGCCTGGGAGAGCTGCGTTACACCGCTGTGCCCCCTTATAATGGCTGTGCTCTACACATGCATGGATACGATTAGACATGACTAGTCTGCTGATTGCCACACAGATGTGAATTACTCAGTTACTGTGAAGCATGAATGAAACAGCTGATGCCAATCAGCTAATGCAAGGGCAACCTCGGTGCTCTGTGCAAAAGTGTGGGCACTCCTGGGAAAATCACACATTTATCAATTCACTTATTCAACAAAGAGCAGTTTGACACAGCACAGCTCTGATGCACACCTTTCCATGATGGATCCTTGGATTCAAACAAATATCTAGACTCAGATTTGTTTGGGTTATTGCCTTAAAAACATCAAGATAAAGTCTCTCATTTTTATTATTGATATTTGATAGTTTTAGTTATTTTTTTTTTAAACATTAAAAAAAATAAAATTTTGAGCTACCTCACAATGGTAAAGAATTCAGAGCCAGGCCGACTCTAGAAGTCAATCCTTTCTACGTTAAATTAAATTTTAATGCAAATTCATGCTTCACTTTTTGAGCTACACTGCTATCAAACAAACAAACAAAACCAATGAGCAATCATTTATTCAGCTGTTAAATATACGTCACTTTTTATTTTAGGATCTTAGAAATAGGACTGGAGCACGTGCAAACATTTGGCCTGGGCTATAAAATAGTGAGAACTCATTAAGTCGTAAGGCTGGAGGCAGGTCAAAAATTCTCATCTGAAGTTCGCAGCTGATGGCATTTCCAGAGTTGATAAAATCTATGAGTCTTCGAACGTTGTGGTGACACTCAACAGCTCTGGGCTCCTCTTAACAGATGACTAAGGATCAGAAAATGAACCTATCTAATGCCTACAAAGCAGGGCGGTGCTATAAAAATATCAAAGTGCTTCCAGCTTGCAATTTCGCCAGCTGAAATAACATAATGAAAAGGGAGTAGAGGGGCACAGTGGAAGTTAAGACAAGATCTGCGAGAGTAGAAAAACTCTGGTGAAACGGAATATTTTCTGGGGAGAAATGAAAAACAAATCTTACATATGGTCGCAAAAAAGTCAACATCTTCAGTATGCAAGCACGACGTTTGGATAATGCAGGCAATAAGTTTTAAGACTCATTAGCTGAGTATTACTGACGTGTGCGTGGGCTATATTTAGAAAATAAATAACACTGCATTAACATTAAAATGTGTGTTATCTGAGACTGAATTTATTCATACATCCACACGTGCATCAGTTTTTACTGGAGCAAAATAAAAATTATGACTGTTTTCAGGGAGTTCTACATCATCCAAAGCAACTGAGACACTGATTATGGAAAAATTATGCTGCTCATGTATTTTCTTTTTAGTGCTGAAACGACCCCAAGTGAAACGTCAACCGTGTCCACTGTGTTAGGCTCGAGGAGGCTATCTCAGAAGCAAAGAAAAAAATGTAAAATTTGGATGACTCAACCATCTGAAGCGCAATTTAAAGTTTCCTCACTTGACTTGTACTCACTTGCTAGGCCGATGGTCTGGTATTGTGCGGTCCAGAGAAATTCTGTCACTGAGGTAGGCATTATAGCCGTACTTCTCCCTAAGGTATTTAGCGTCACTCTCCTCAGCCGGTGACAGCGTGGCGGGGAGGCCGCCTTTACCCCGACCCCCAAAGCCCTCAATCAGGCCCAGAGATTTGGACAGACCTGAGCAAGGCAAACAAGAGAAGATTACATGTCAGGATCCTTTAGTGTGCCTGAGTCACTCTCCTCTCAGTAATGCATTATACAGCCCACAGCTGATAGCCTGCCTTACCATCACAGCTCCAAACTCACATGAATATACAGCATTTTGTCAGTGGCTGTCAAAACAGGTGAACTTCTGGGCCGAGTTCATTAGAACCAGAGTTGGCACAGAGTCACAGAGAATATCTTCAATCTATGGACACAATTTACAAATAGGATGTGTGAAATATTCCCAATCCAAACCTTCCTATCCATTCTGAGGTCAGTAAGCCTTCATTTAATGATGGGGAAGGAAATTAAACTCTAAACATAGGCTAAACTACACAAGTGAAGGGTTTAAAGCTTTCACTCTGTCTGTAGGGGGGACGGAGAACAATTAACAGATACCACACCATCCTTCACAGTGTTTGAACCTCTGTGTTGGCAAACATCCTGCTTCCTGACGACACCAGAACCCTGAAAGCTCCTTCTCGGAAGTTAACATTAAACTCTAACCTCCCAGAGTGCAATAAAGACATTGTCTTTTCAGGGATTAATTAAAGTACAATTCTGGATAACCTTACTACTGTTGCAGGGAAATTCAATTCACTGCATCCTATTGTAATCAGCCCCATGTATCCGTTTAAACCCAAACCCGACACACTTGTATTTAAAATTAAATGTTTTATTGGAAACTTAATTACCATCGGTGATCTGCTGCTCTAAGGCTGGAGTATTAAATATGCTTGGTAGTTGCTGACTCTTTCTTCAATGGTTCAGTAGATGTAGACTTTCTAACAGAGAGCACACTCTCATCGTGCATGACCTATAATTACTGAAATAATGTGAGAGGAGTGCCAGATCCAGCAGCTGACTCTGTTAGACAATATTAGGGACAATGCAGGGAGGCTTATTCATTAGTTTCTAACATTTCATGTCAGGGCTCCAGAGGGAGTAAAAGAAAAAGTCAGACAACACTGACTTTTAACTTTTTCAGATTCCTTGAGGGAAATCAAGTTGACACGTTCTTTCACTTTAAATGTTAACGTGCTCTTTACCGTTTAGCTGCCTGTACACCACGTCCTCCAGAGAGCTGAGCCTTTTCAGCAGCACCTCATGGCTGACGCTGGGCCCCTGCGCCGTCCCGTTGCCCCGGGCTCTCTTCCCATCACCCGCGGCCTCTGGACCGGTGGTCTGGATGCTGCGTGCGTTGTTGCACTTGGCCCAGAAAGTAATGAACCCGGCAACCGCGAGCACGTTCAGCACCAGTAAGACCCTCCATCTTCTGAACACAAAAGCCATTAAAAAGTCACCAGTGTCCGGGCTTCCAGTGCGTAAGAGGTCAGGAGGAGGGACAGTCTCAGGAGAAACCTGAGGCGCGTTATAGTTACAATGCGCCAACTATGCATGCGCCCTTCAGCCCGACTTCAGAGAAGTGTGACAGAAAGCAATGCTCTCAACCGCGGTGTGTGTAGCTGACTCAGTCCGCAGCCGCAGCAGTATACACTCGCCCCGTAACGTGTCGAGATTCAGGTCTTCTTTGCCTTGCGTTGCGTGGAAATCTGCAGGGATAATTCACATCAACAGACCTTACGAGAGCTGCAGAAACTCACAGGTTTTTTTCTCCACTTCTGAGCAAGTGCACTGATTCTCGACATAAGCTGCGCTCTTACCATTTGACACTGGGGTTATTCTAGGTTGCATCCCCCTTCTGATGAAATTCGGGGCGCCTGGCCATCGGCTTTCATCCGTGTCACCGCCACTTCGAGCCTTGGTTTACAATCATGTAAGACAAAGACACGAGCATATGTTGGGCTTGAGGAACAGATACTCCTAAATAATTTAACAGAGAGGAGAATATCAAGTGTCTTTTTTTTTTTACCCTCTCCTTTGCGTCTAACACAAGTCGGCAGTGATGCGACTGAAGCGGGCAGCGCGCAAAAAAATTCTCTCGCGGATTCTCAATGAAAACCTTCTTAATGTTCACTCCAAATTTCTGCTCCTTGTCTTGTTCGCACGTCGTCTCTTACTCCCGACACTCGTTAATCACAGAGAAACGTAACTGAGGAGACTGTGCGGATAATGAGCGGAGGGCAGCGATTCCGGGGATGCAGCATC